CGCCCCGCCCCCGCGCCCCGCTTACCCTGCGCGCTGCCTCCGCCCTGGCCCCCCAGGAGGAGAGGAGTCCAAATACCCCGCGCTCCGCGTAATTGCAGGGGAGGCCGAGGAGGAGGAGGAGGAGAAGGCGAAGAAGAGGCCGGCGAGGAGAGCCGCRAGCCCGCGAGGTGCAGCCCGGGGCTTTTATGGCACTGACTTAAGCACAAACAAGAATTTACAGCCAGAATTACACGTTCTTCATCAGCCCGGCGTGCACGGGAGGCACGGGCAGCAATTTGTGTATCCCACGGTTTTGGTGGAAGAAGCAGGTTGGGGAGAGGAGAGACCCTCTTCCCCCCACAAAGAGCCTCAGGTTGCGGCTTAGGCAAAAGCAAAAACCATTAAAAAAAAGACGAAAAAAATCTCTGCAGTGCCCCATTTTGCTCCATCTTTAAGTCCAGTCCAGGATCAATTCTCTCCCTTACATCCCCAGCCACAAACAAACAGCTTCCAGCTAAATCTTTTAAAGGTTAAAAGCAACAACAACAACAAAACCAAAATAGAAATAATAACCCAGGCTTTCTTTTTTTTTTTTTTTTTTCTCCCCCTTCTCCTTCCTGCTTGTTGGACAGCGCTTTTTGGTCAGCCTAGCCTTGCATTTAGGGATGCTACTTGCATTTGAATAGCTGCCTGGCTGCTATGGATCGGGAGGCTGCGGAGGAATCAGTATGCAAATTGTTTCGGTTACAATCGAAGGGTTCGATCGGGAGAAGGTGCCTGGCGGAAGGGGCTGGCGGCGGCGGCGCGCGGGGCCTGCGCGCCCTGCCCGCGCGCGCTCCGCGGGCCGCGCGTGGGGCCTCGCGCGGGCCGGGGGCAGCGCCGCCCGCTCGCCCCGCTCCCCGGGCCCTCGTTACGCGGCCCGCGCGAGCCGAATAAAACATTTATAAAGGGCTCCGCGCTTGCGGCGGGAGAGGTGGGCCGGGGGGGCCGCCCAGGCGCCGATCGCGCGGCACAGGCTGCCGATCGATAACCCTTTCCTTGTAATCCCGGGAACGGGGGGAATCTCGGGGCTCGTTTAAAGGGACAGCGGGCTGCAGCGGGGGCGGCACCGGTGACGGGCCCTGTCACCTGTGGCGTCCCCCCAGCAGGACCCCAGGTGCCCTCCCCGTGGGGCTCCCCACGGCGCGGCCCAGCAGCCGGCCGGCCGCGCTCCCACCCGCGGCCACGCGGGCTGCAGGGAGCCGGTGCGGCGGGGCCCGGCGGGGCGCGTGGGCAGCGCGGGGGCCGGGGCGCCGCTCCCGCCGCTGACCATCTGTCATTCAATTAGGGCCCGGAGGCAGGCGAGGGGCCGCGGTGGCAGCGGGGGCCGGGGGTCAGCGACCCCGGGACAAAACGTCCTGCTGCCTGCGCGAGGCGAGGAAGTGCAAATGTTAAACGGCGCCCGGGCGGGCGCTCGCCTCTGCGGCGGCCCGGGGTGAAGGGCCGCCGTCATTAGCGCTTCGATTTCAGCGCCCAGGCCGGCCCTGCCGTCTGTTGGAGGCTTTTGGCCCCCAAAGCCTTAACYCTTCCCGGGCAGCCCGCACCCCCTGGGGCCGGGGGCCCCATGGCGTCACCCCGTGTCCCAGCATGGGACCCAGCACCCGCCGCAGCGGCCGGCCCGGGGGCACCAGCCCCTTCCCTCACCCTGCCAGGGACAACAGGTCTCCCGGCGGGTGCGAGCGGGGCCGGGGCCACGTGCCCAGGGCGGCTGGCCCCTCTCATGGCCCGGGCGCCTCCTCCCCTCCACACCAGCCGACCAGAACACACTGATGAATTGAGCTTTCACTGCACTAATCTGGGTATTATAAATATTTAAGCACGGTCTCTCACAGCCAGCCCAAGAGGGCACCTTCCCCTCACATACCAAGGGCTGTGCTTGCCCCCAGGGTGGCTGCTGCATCCCCTCCCTGCCCCTCTCCTTCCCTGCAGCTCCCAACAGGAGCTCCATCCGCTAACTTGCCACCTTTTCCAAGAGCAGCCAAAAGCCTCTTTGCTTCCACATCCTCGGAGGCTGTTTCTGCAGAGCCAGGGCACCGCTGGCCCAGGAGGCCATGCCAAGGGCTCACCAGGGGATATATCCCTCCTTATACCTGGAAGGAGGTTGATGCATTTTCTTGTTTCCTTTACTTACTTTCTTCTCCTGGTGAAAGGGGCTAATTTGCTCCCTTGGTGCCACAGCTGCAGAGCTCAGCTCTTCCATGGGGCTGGAGCAGTGCAGACGCTGCCACCAGCACAGGGGCTGCACTGCAGAAGCAGCAGCAAACATCACTGCATGTGGTGCAGATGGCCAGGGGCTTCAAACAGCCTGGTGGCCCTGGGCCGGGGGCTTTAAAGCTGCCCCACAGCAGCCACCACTGCCCTTCTCTCCCAGCTCTGCTAATTTGCTAATGCAAAACGTGGGGTCTGTCGTTACCCTGACTCTGCCCCCCACCTGCTGGCAGAGAGGGCAGTGTCTGGCCCGGGGGGGGCGGCAGCAGGATCAGTGTGTGCTGGGAAAGGCCAGGGTTAACAATGGGCTGAGCACACACATCCATCCCCGCGCTAAATACACCAKGGAACGGGAAACTGCGCCCTGCCAYGGCCCCACGAATCCCAGGGCTCATCCCGCCTGGCACCCGGGCGTCTGGACGCAGGGAAGGTGCCCGTGGTGGCTCTGCACCATGTCCTGCGTGACGTGGAAGCGCCACTCGCTCCGCAAAAGGGCCAGACCCTGGGCTCCCATCGAAAGGGACTCACAGCCACATGACGGGGCTGGCTGCGCTGCCATAAAATCCATCACTCCGCATGCCTGGAAATCACTTCCTCTGCGGGCTAGGAAGTAGGAATCTTTTAAGCCATTTGTGCTCACCATGACAGATGTGTCCATGTTGATCATCTCTTTAGAGACCTCACAGAAAATTCACAAGTGTTTTGCACACAGAGTGGATGCTGGCATCACCGTGTTCGTGGTCCGAAAGCAAACGCCACGAAGTGCCCGCACACACCTTCCCAAGCTGCTGGCGCTCTGCTTCCTCACACAAAGACCACTGTTTTATTAAGGGTTAATAGCAAGGAGGTTACACAAGGATGCTGTGTGCTCAGTACCCGTGTGACGTGCGGGGATGCTCGCGCACATGGAGTCGGGGCAATCCCTGAGGACCTGAGGAACCCCCTTTTCCATGGATGCCACTGAGCTGGCACCTCTGGCTCCTCAATCCGCTGCACGAGGCTTCATCTCCTGTCAGCTCAGGTCAATGGAAACTGTTCTGCTGGTGTTGGCAGGACCGTGTTGGGCTCGAGCCGGAGGGATGGTGCAGCAGCTTCCTGAAGCCTTCCTTATCCTGGTCTTTCTAATTCCCTGGAAGAAGACTTCTTTGCCTCTCACTTTTTGTTTGTTTATTTTTGTTTTGCATTGCATAGTCCACATTTTTGTCCACTTCAGGTTTACTGGCAGTTTCTATCATTCAGTTTCCCCCTTTCCAACACGGGATCTACAAATGGACAACAGCGCTTCCGACCTATGGGGGCCGCGGATCCCGAAACCCTCTCCCCACTGCCATGCTGACCATCCGCTTCCACCTCGTTGTTCCCGCTGTCCGAATTCACACAACGACCAGCAACGGAGCCGCAGCCTCCACTGCAGTTTTGAACTACCCAAGCGCGGGGAAATGGCAGAAAGACCCTTTAAACCACGAGCTTGTGGAGTAAAAGTGTTGCTGAAAACAGCTCATGGAAGAACCAAAGGAGTTCGGTGTCCAACTCTGCGTCATGGGAGATCAGCGAGTCCTGAGGAAGAGCTCTTGAGGAGAGGGACTGTGAACAGCAGGCAGCGTGTGGATCCCACCAGTATTCCTGTATTCCTGGTGGAGGCACGTGGGCTTTTCCATGGATTGCAGTGCAGTGCTGATGAACTCCTATTTTCCCAGTCCCCTCCGTGGACAGCTTGGGAGCAGGCCAGGGGCTGGAGCTGGGATCTCCCTCCGGCTCCAGAATTAGCGCCGTCTTTAGTCTGTGCATATTTAGAAGTGTGGGGATCCCATAAATCCTTCCACATCTGGGATCGCTCGTAATGGCTGGTGTCAGGAGTTTACGGAGGAGCTTTCTAAGATCTAGCGCCCAGAATCAATAACAGCTGGAATTCCAGCGAGGGAAAGATGCCGCGGCCCTGGCTGATTCTCAGGTGTTTTCAATTGTATCTCCAGCAAAAAAATTATTCTTGTTAAGAGATTCTGCTGGTCCGCTCGTGTCTTTTGAAGTTGCCTTTCTTTCTTTGAGCTCAGATGCCTTGAGATCCCACCCCTGCCCAGTCCCCAAGCCCGCGTGCATCCAATAAAGCGGACAGCTTCGCGGCAGATGTCTCCATTTGCTCCTTTTCCCCTTTACTGAGGCTTCGCTGGTGGGTGCAGCCGCGCGTGTGGGGCCGGCAGAGGCTCTGCAGGGAGCCCTGCGCGGCCCCGGCCTCTCGGCACGGGCACCCCTGGATGCCRGGGGGCAGCTCCGGGTCCCTCTCCCTGCTTGCCCTTGTGCAGGGCGTCCCCTCCAGCCTCTCCGGGCTGGACACAGAGGGTTTCACCCTTGTGCTTCGCTATGGGGACAGCCCCAACCCCCTCGTCCCACCTGGTGGTGCTGCTGGTGCTAAGGAGCCCAGACCCCCGTGGCCATCGCGCTTCCTCCGCACGCGCCTCCGTCTGAGCTCCTCGTGAGAGCAGGACCCAGCGTGGAGGTGATGGGCAGCATCTGCGATAGGAAATTGCTGTCTGCAGATGTGTGTGTGAAGGAAAGCCTGTGTCAGACAAGGGTATCAAGGGATAAATTCCACAAGTGAGTGAATCCATCTGAGGGCAAGACACGAGCAGTGTGTTTTCCTCAAGAAGGAGCTGAACAGCTCCAAGGACATCAATCCACCTTATGAAAGATACGTTTTCCTTAGTGTTGCCCATGCTTTCTCAGGAAGGGAGAAGACAGCAGTCAAATAAACAAATGGTGGCTCCATCCTGGACCAGAGTTTGAATCCCCACTGTCTTTCAACTTAGATGAAGCTTTGCTAGGGATTTACTTGAACAGGAGAAAGGGAAGGACTAGACTGTGTTCCTCTCTCCAAGGAG